CAACCAACAACGGTATTGCAAGCACCAGACCCACGAAAGGCTGACCACCGCAACAGCACCGTCGTCAGCTTTACGAAGACAGCGGTAGCAGAACAAGACAAAACATAAGAAATTGGGAAGTAATATATTGTTACGAAAGAAACCCATACGCCGCTCCGGTACGACGCCTATGAGTCTTCTAGTATGTGTGTGTTTATTCTGGTATATACGAAGATGATTCATCAGCGGCCGGCGGAGCGCTAAAGACGAGCCTGGAAGCGGAAGTTGCGAACGGCAACCCAGAAAGATCTCGATCGCCGACATCTAGAAGGAAGTACGAGTTGAAATAGAGGCGACCGTCGGGAACGATAATTATTCAGCTGGTTGAGTCAAGAGAGGTTGCCCGGAATTATTTTATAATCGTTGTAACAGTTAGTCGTGTAAATTCTCGTTAGTAAGAAATAAATAGTTGAGTTTTACCCACGTCTATTTTATTCAGCGATCAACGTAACTATGTTTTCAAATCTAATATTACCATTAGTTTAGGATATTTTGTAAATATGTAGTTTTGTATAAATAAGTTAGTTTTGAATAAATTAGTATTAAGCTTTATTTGCTTTTTCCTCACTCCCCACAATTCTAACCTAGAAATGTTCATAGTCCTTCGAGCCATTACTGAACCAAGTGCCACTTTCCAAGTATAATTACTAGGGCTGTGAGACTGTGGTTCGGTGGTGTCTGTCGATTCCTTTTTAGGCCGTGCCACCCTCCAAGTCTACAAACTCGGGCTGTGAGACTGTAGTCCAGTGGCACCACTCCTTTTTTTTACTAGGACACCATTTCTAGGTCTACAATTTTCGAGCTGTGAGACTGCAGTTCGGTGGTGTTCATCCCTTAATCCGGTACCATTTCCAAGTCTACAATTTCGGGTTGTGAGACTGCAGTCCGGTGGTATCGTCCTTACACAAGCATCACTTCCGAGACAATTTTCGGTCAGTGGTGTTCTTTATACCCAGCACGCCCTTATAGAAATAAGGGTGCAAGATACCAACTAAATCCGTCATGGAAGAATTCAACAAGAAAGTCAAAGAGCAAGAGGATTTGGGGAAGAAAATTCAAGCTCTCCTCAAGATCGCGCAAAAAGAAAAACTCAAAATTGGAGATTTAAAAAGGCGAACAACTTCAAGAATATTCGAACAATGTTCAACGAAATCATGAAGAACTGAAGATATTGGGGGCCACCTTCAGAACAACACACAAGTACTTCGATGGGAAATATTTCGATCAATTAAAAGCGTTGCACGAAGATACAAAGAAATACCTCGAGTCAATTCGGCCGTCATCCGACCTCGACCCGGACCAAGAAACCCGCATCCGACGTCAATTGTTCACACTACAAAAAAATTCCACCGAAATGACCAAACTAAACAGCGATTTGGCTCAGGACTACAGCAGAGTCAGATACGAACTTCCAACTGAAAAATTCCAAGGTCAGTGGAGAAGCATCGCAGAACTGCATGAAGAAATCTATGTCCATTAAACTGATTTCGAAGAAGAATATTTTCCCGACGAGATGTACTAGAAAACTGAAGAAAAGTCTGAGGCTGTGGTTGAAAAATTTAAAGAAAAAATCCAGTCACAGTCCGCCCAGCAACATGAGAAACTGAACATTCAACTACCCCAAATTAAACTTTCAATTTTTACTGGAAAATACGAAGACTGGCCCACTTTCCACGATTTATTCAAGAAAGTCATCCATAACAACACATCGCTCTCCAAAATTGAAAAAATGCAGTATCGGAAGACGTACATCAGAGATGAGCCCAACAGAATCATCCAACATCTCCAAATAACTAGAAACAATTACGAAACACCATAGGAACTGTTGGATGCTCATTGCCGTCCGATCGCCAGCGCTATTGCAGCCATGGCCTACAACTTCGGGAATCCTTAATAACAATTACTACTTTTTCTAAGTTTTCCTAAGTTATACGAGTTCTCCTAGATGTTAAAATGCTTTAAAAATTAAAAATGACTGTTCAACATTACAATTTCGTGATGATCTTGATCAGATAAAGCCTGAATTGCATCAAACGCCATTGAGGTTGAGACTGCACTTCGGCTGTGCCTAACTCTGGTTATTACACAGAATTTTGGATCAGCCAAGAATACATGAAGAATCAGCAGAGAAGCTGAAGAAATTGCATGACATAACAAAAGAATGTCTAGAACCATTAAACAATTTATAAAACATTCAGGCCGAAACACGGGGACCAATACTTACTAGAATAATTTCTGAAAAATGGGACACAGAAACATCATGCTACAAATGTAAAAGAAGACACCATACGTTATTACAAAATGAACAAAAAAGCGACCCGAAGATCAACCAACAAAAAACATTCAACTCAACACACAATTTTCAAACTCTGAAGCAACGAAGAAAATTCAGAACCACGTTGGAACTATAAGCAAACAAGTACTTTTGGCCACCGCGTTAATGAGAGTACGGAGAGCAAGGGGAACCTATGAAAATTTACGAGCCCTTATTGACCTGGGATCGCAGGCATTGCTCATAACAGAAAAAGCAGCAACAAACAGTCTTGTCACTACCTAGAGAACATATTCAAGTCGATATAACAGGGCTTGAGGAGGAATATCAAACAAATAAAAACTTCAGAATTACACTCGAGTGCGTCCCACGATTTTCAAAAGATTTTGCACTCACAACAGACCTAGTGGTATTACCAAAGATAACGGAATCTCTACCGGAAGAAGACATCGAAGTGAATCTTCAGGTGTGGCTGAATCACATTATCGCGGATCCAGTTTTCCAATAAAGGACCCAATTGATGTATTACTGGGAGCGGGAGAATACTGCAACATAATACTCAACGGTATCCAAAAAATAAACCATGGTTTTATGGGCCAAAACGCAGAATTTGGGGGTAGCATAATAAAAGAAGAAAAAAGAAACAAGAAACGCATAACGGTCAAAAGCAATAGCATGATGACAAAAAATGACGACCAGCAATTTTCAAAAATTATGAGAATCGCTCGACCAGTCACCACTTCAAGACCAAAACAAAATCCACTAGCACTCCGAAAAACGGCATCAGTATCAGTCACACCCAAATAGTCTCGGCCGTTGGTGGCAACTTTGGTTCCATCAAAAATCCACCAATAGTTTACATCAATAACAGAACCCGTGGTCCAGGCTCAACCCAAAAGAATCAGAAAAGGAAGAAGAACTACCTACAGTCCGAACTTCAAGAAACAACAAGGCCAAAGATAATTGTGTAGACTGTAAGATTGAACTTCATTACCAGAAGCATCGTTCTAGCAAAGATCACGGTTTCAGTCTGGGCAGCATGATTCTTCATCATCGAAGAAAACAACGACCTCAAGAAGAGGGTGTCAAGATGATGCCCATTTACCCGCTACGAGTACCCTAAGTAGCTACCAATCCATCCCGTTGCGTTCCCACTGCAATTCTTCTGCAAAGCCCATCGACCATGCGCATTTCGAGAGACCCAAGATGTTTAAATCCTAAATTTAAACAGTAATTTTTAAATTTAACTCTCCTATTGACAACCACTAACGAGATAAAGATCAAACGACGTGAATGTCAAAACATCGGTACTGCAAGCACCACAGCTACGAAACGCTGACCACCGCAACAGCACCGTTGGCAGCTTTATGAAGATAACGGTAGCAGAACAAAAAAAAATACAGTGAAACCCCTCCACTACGGACAGCTACGGGGAATCTCAAATCTCACTATAAAGAGGTGTCCGCTGTCAAGAGGTTTCAAGACACCAAGTAAAGAAACTACTATAATTTCAATTTTTTCACTAATACTTAAAAATCTCTTTGCTTAGCGGTCGTATTACACACTTTAAAGGTAAACGCTCAAATAATAATGTTTCATAAGTTCATTCGCACTTGATAAACAAAACCACCCCAGCTTTGCTATTTGGGAAAAACCCATATTTACTCGTATTATGAGCAGCGTGGGGTTGAAGAGCGTTATGACCCGGTACCGAGAATCCGTTGGCCTAATCGTTAAATTAAATTGTACGGTCTAATCTCGGAACCGCTTTACCTGTTACCTGTCCGTTGTGAAGAGGTAATTGTACAAAGAAATAAGTAAAAATGCGCCAATTTTACTGTTCGTGTCCATTGTTGGGAGTGTCAGTTGTTTCGAGGATTCTTTACATTAAATGACCTATTTTACACGTTGGGACAATGAAAATGGTCCCTTGTGGAGAAGTATCCGCTGTTTGGAGGTGTACGTTACAGGAGGTTTCACTGTACAAGAAATTGGGATGCAATATATTTTCATATCTAATATTACCATTAGTTCAGAAGCACTGATATATCGTACATATGTAGTTTTGTATAAATAAGTTTGGTTGTTTTGAATAAATCAGTATCAAGCTTTAATGGCTTTTTACTCACACCCCACAATTCTACCTCACAATTGTACACTTTTTTTTTTAGAAATCGGTAGGTTTTTGGATAATTGACAACACCGCCCGCGAATTCTCCTATACAAAATGCATTGCTTAGGGGTTTTGTACGCTGCCAAGACAAAGCGGAACGGACTTAAGTTTTATCTGTTTTTCCTGCTAGCGTCCATGGCCAAGAATAAAAATCTACCAACGCCACCCCAATTAAAATTAAAAGTTTCCATTTAGTTGCATAATGTAATTTGTAGCCTTTCACATTTCCCGAATCTGTGAATGGTGATAATTCCCCTCGAGGACCCTCATCTCGTCTTCATTCCCTTTTAACACTAACAGCATAATCCCAATCTGGCATTAATAGACAGTTTTGCTAATACAGTGTCGTCAGCGGTCGAAATATTCGCGAATAATAACTTCCGACACTCCAAAATCCCGAAATATCATCATTCCACACTTATCCAACCTCGCCAAACCTTCAAATCCTCGCTCCTCCAAAACCCCCTGCACACTTCTCCGTCCGGCAGCACACAACACTCCTCCCCCCATACTAACCAGCAATATCACACACAAAATGAGGAGTATACTCAAGACGGCCATCGTCAGCGGCCACCTCACCGCCTCCACCTTCTCGCCGACGTGGATCTTCGGCATCAGGTCCAAGCCGATCAACGGCTGCCTTATGTCCGCCGCCGCGTTGGCGGCCATGGTGTTGTTGCTTATCGTCCTTTCTAAGTAAACTGACGCTTGTTTGTACAAGGTCATGTTCGACACCGGCTCGTCGAAGATGTCGCGCAGTTGCACCAGCTGGGAGCTAGCTTGGACCCGCAGTTGGCGTTCGATCGCCTCGGTCTGGTTGCGGATCTTCGAGACGAGGACGTCGACCTGGCGGCCCTCCTCGAGCAGGCGGACGACGCCGTTGTGGAGATCGTCGTTGCCGTAGAGGCCCAGGCCGATGGCGGCGCAGCATAGGACCGATACGATGGCCAGCGACACCTTCAGGGCGGAGATGGAGCGCGAGGGGCGAGGTTTGCGGTCGCAGCAGCGCGTCAAGAGGTATATGAGGAGGACCAAGAGGGTGAGGATGAGCCATGCCGCCGGGATGGAGCCGAGGATGCCCAAGCTCTGAAACAAGAAGAAATAATTTTGGAGAAAATGCATAACAGAAAGATACGACCAAATTCATATCATTAATAATAATAATATTTTTTTAAACAATAGTAATTATACACAAGAGTTTATAAATCATAAAATAAAAGAACAAGGACAACACACTGCACCGTCCTCCAACGGCTAATTTCATATTTTCTCGACGCCACTTCAAAATTTTGCATAGTAAATGTCATCTAAATTTTATCAAATAACATAGTCTTGTACTTGTGATTTATGAATTCGCTTGAGTTTTTACCTCAGAATATAAGTCCTTTTCAATTTCTTATAAATTCCGCTTTTTTGAAAAGTCGTATACTTTGTTTTATGATAACCTCTATAAAATAAAAGGCAGTGGCGTAAATAACACTTCCTTATTATCTCCTGCGCCGTAGGGAAGCAGATAAACAACGGAAAAACATAATTTCCGAAAAATCGAAAAATTGAAAAATTGAATCGAAAAATCGGTACCCGAAAGGCGGAAAAATAGAAACATTTAAAATCTAAAAAGTCTAAAAACTGTAAAAACTGAAAATTTCCCAAAATTGAAATGTTGAAAAATTCAGAAATTGAGAAACCAAGATATAGAGACATCGAAAAGGCGAAAAATTGGAGTATTAGAAACTTTAAAACATCGGGAAATCGAAAGATTAAAAAAACGTAAAATCGAAAAAAGTAAAATTTAAGAAATTGAAAAACGAAAAATCGAGTAATTGGAAAATCCCCAAACTGAATTCCCGAAAAATTAGGAAATCCAAAATCGAAAAATCTAAAAACCGAGTAATCTAAAATTGAAAACATCGAGCAAAACCAAAATAAAAAAATCGGTGTCCGAAGGGTCGACAATTCGAAAGAGTGAGCAATCGAAACATCAAAAACTCGAAAAATTTAAAATCGAAAAAGTAAGATGGTTAAATTGAAAAATTCCCAAAATTGAAATGTTGAAAAATTGAGAAACTGAGAACTTGAAAAATCGAGAAATTGAAACATATAAAAGTCGAAAAATAAAAAAAAAAATGAAAAACCACGTTGTCAAGAAATCGAAAATTCGAAAAATTGAAATATTAAAAACTTTAAAAATCAGGAGATCGAAAGATCAAATAAACGTAGTCGAAAAATGAGAAAATAGAAAAATCGAAAAATTGGGAAATTGAAACATTATAATAATCAAAAATTTTGAAAATCAACTAATCTAAAATTTAAAAATTGGCAAAAGTGACTATAGAGAAGAATCGAAAAGGTGAAAAATCGAAAAATTTAAATGCAAAAATATAAAATTTACGAAATAGAAGAAATTGAAAATCGAAAGAACGAGAAATTGAAAAATTATAAAATCCACCAAACTGAATTCTCGAAAAATTGGGAAATCGAAAAATTAAAAAATTTTAAATTAAAAAAAATCCAAAAATAGGGAAAGTGGACAATCGAAACATCGAAATCTCGGTAAATCCAGATATTCAAACATTTAAAAATTGATAAAATGACAAATTAAAAAATTAAAAACCGGAAAATCGAAAATTTTAAAATAAAAAAAATCCAAAATTTAAAAATTGGAAAAACTGACATATACAGAGAAAAATCGAAGAACTTAAAATTGAGAAATCGAAAAATCTAAAGTTTAAAAAACTGAAATATTGGAAAATCCCAAAACTGAAACATTGCAAAATTGAGAAATCGGGAAACTAAAACGTCGAAAAATTGCAAATTTAAAATATTAAAAAATTAGGAACCTGAGAAATCGAAAAATTGGAAAATCGAAAAACTGAAGAATTGAAAAATCGAACATTGAAAAGTGAAAAAATCGAGAAATCGAAAACTCGAAACCCCAAAAACTGAAAAATCAAAAAATTTAAATATCAGAAAATTAAGAAATCGATAAATCGAATAAATGAGAAAAATCAAAAAACTGAAAAAGTCCAAAACCATAGATAGTTCGGAAAATTTAAAGTATAAAAAAATCGAAAAACTGAAAATTTCCCAACATTGAAATGTTGAAAAATCCAGAAATTGGGAACTTGAAAAATCGGGAAATAGGAAAATTGCAATATTAAAAACTTGAAAAAATCGGGAAATCGAAAGATCAAAAAAAATCGAAAAATGTAAAATTTGAGAAATCGAAAAACGAGAAATTGAGTAATTGGAAAGTCCTTAAACTGAATTCCCAAAAAATTGGGAAATCGAAAAATCGAAATATCTAAAAACCAAGAAATCTAGCAATGAAAACATTGAAAAAAATCAAAATCAAAAAATCGGTATCTGAAGGGTCGAAAATTCGAAAGAAATACAATCGAAACATCAAAAAATCGAAAAAGTTAAAATCTAAAAAATCGAATAATTAAGATATGGCAAAATTTAAAAATTCCCAAAATTGAAATGTTGAAAAATTGAGAAACTTAGAATTTGAAAAATCGAGAAAACGAGAAATCGAGTAAGTGAAAAATCCCTAAACTAAATTCATGAAAAATTGGGAAATCGACAAATTGAAAAATCTAAAAACTGAGCAATCTAAAAATGAAGAAATTGGGTAATCAAGAAATCGAAAAACTGAGAAGTCGAAAAATCGAGATATTGAAACAACTAAAAATCGGAAAATAGGAAAATCGGGAAACTGAACACTCGAAAAATCGGAAAATTAAACAATCGAAAAATAGTAAAATCTGAAACATCGAAAACGACTAAGTTTTAAAAATCAACAAATCTAAAATTTAAAAATTGGCAAAACTCACTACAGAGAAGAATTGAAAAACCGAAGAATCGAAAAACTGAAAAAATCAGAAATCAATATATCAAAAAATTGTAAAACTGAAAAATTGAAAAATCGAAAAATGTACAATTTAAGAAATAGAAAACATTGAAAATCGAAACAACGAGAAATCGAAAAATTGTAAAATCACCAAACTGAATTGTCAAAAAACAGAATCGAAAAATTAAAAAAATTTAAATTTAACAAAGTCGAAAAATCCAAAAATAGAGAAATCGAAAAATAGGGAAACTGAACAATTGAAAAATCGAAACATCGAAACATCGAAATCTCGGTAAATCGAGAAATTTAAACATTGAAAATTTGAAGAACTGACAAACTGAAAAATTATAAACCGGAAATCGAGAACTGGAAAATTTTCAAATCAAAAAATCCGAAATTTAAAAATTGGAAAAACTGAGAAATGCAGAGAAAAATTGAAGAACTGAAAATTGAGAAATCGAAAAATCGAAAAGTTTAAAAAATTTAAATTTTGCAAAATCCCGTAACTGAAATATGGAAAAATTTATAAATCGATAAATCGAAAATCCTCAAAACTGAAACATTGCATTGCATTGAGAATTCTGGGAATTGAAACGTCGAAAAATCGTAAATTAAAAAAATGGAAAAATTGAAAACTTGGGATATCAAAAAATTGAAGAATTGAAAAATCGAACGCTGGAAAGCGAAAAAATCGAGAAAACGAAAAATCGAAACCCCAAAAATTGAAAATGGAAAAATCGAAATATCGAAAAATTGAAATGCCGAAAAAAAAGAATTCCAAAAATTAAAAAAACGATTTTTTAAATAAAATTTTGATTTTTTACTTCCCCAGCGAAAGTATTTATTGCAATCAAGTTCATCGAGCGACTCGCTACTTTTATGTTTTCTCGACGTTTCATGACCCCTAGGCTACGAATACATAGGTTTCTCGTTTTCGTCTATCTGTCTGTCATGTGATGTCTGTCCTTGTCTGTGTCGATTTTCATTAGACACAATCTTCTAAACTACCGAACCGATTGTTTTCAATTTTTTTCCCAAAAAGCTAGATGTCTAATCGAAAAGATAAGGGCGGCTTAATAAACCACTACTATATAAAAAAGTTAGCAAATTATTGGTGTAAATGAACATGCAATTTTAGTTTGGTATAGGACACGCTTAATGTATGCCTAAAATTCCACAGCAATCGGTCCAGTGGTTTGGGAAACTACGCATCTAACTAATCATCCACAGACATACAAACAGGCAGACAAACCACATAAAAACATGGATTTACCAATTCGCTAAATGGACTCTACCACGACACTTCCCTAACGCTTCAGAAAATATTTAATATGAAAAATACCGGGGTAGAGATAGATTAGAAATGTAAGGCAATAAGAACCCATTTAATAACGCCAGTATAATGAAAAATCTACAGAATGCGAAGATAAAAAGAAATAAAATCTGCACACAAACCTCTATATTAAATATTTTTAAAATATTAATGTGCTACAAGGGCAAAAAGAACAGGTAGTGGTGAGTAAAATAAATGAAATGTAATTAAACGTGCCCGGATAAAGTAAATATGCGGAACTCCCATTGCGAACGTTTTAATTAAAATGCTCCTTCTCGCTTCGTAAAACTGATTCTTTATTAAAAGCATGTTACTTTATTCAAGTACGGAAAATGTACTACAAATTGAAGCGGATGAGATCTGAATAACTAGTGACAATTTTAGGTATTTTTTCTTTCTTCATAATTTATTTTTTTGGTACACCTTTTCATTTGAATATTTTTAAAACACCAATCGTAGCTTAATGTCCGAATGTCGTGTCTCGTGGGTCCTAATAGCAAAATAAACGCAATAAATATTTATTTTATTATTTAAGGCCGCACCTGAGCTTCATCTTCGTTATCGGTATGTTATAATTATGTGTGGCTGTTTACTAATTTTTGGAATAATCATATAAAAGACTCTAGATTAATAAAACTAACCATAATAAGTTTTATCGTAATCTCATCGTGTTTGTTTGGCTTTTTTTATTAAGTGTCAATATTGTACGGTATTGAATTGGATTATAATCTTGTACTAAAAATAGAACATGAACTCGTCGAAATATAATTTTTTTGAATCTTTCCTTAATTGGGTAATTATCTTATATATCAAAAAAAAATCCCTAATAGCTCTCTCTAATCTAAAAAAAATATATTATTAAAATGAGTTAACATGTTCTTCTCATAGTATTTCGACTCT